TTTTTAGTGTTAATAATTCTTAAAAAGTCACTTCAGGGGGTCAGGGATTTAGCTCAGAGATTCCACCACCTGTCTCACAAACGTAAGGTCCCAAGTCACTACAAATGTTCAAGGTGACATTTTGATATTTGAATTTCCTATACATTACCTCTGATAACGTATTCCAGAGATCATTTCTGGCTGCATTGCCATACTTATGAATGGTTAAATAATCCTATAAAAATACAAAATTGAAATTACAATTCAAAGGTCAATCAATTACCAGTAAACACATTTATTTCTTAATTCAATTCACTATTCCATGTGTTGGAATTGCATTAATACAAAGCAAAGATATGAATGAATCTCATTTAAAATTATTCCAAAGAGATTTAACTATATTTCTAAATTTATCCATTTAATATATTAGTCTCTCAATAATGATTTTTAAAGCTATAATCACTTCTTACAGATTTCCACACTCAAAGATCTAATTGAATAAGTCAATCTCAGACAATTTTGAAGAATCTACCTTTGTAGGAAAATATATAGGACAAAATTTCTTATCAGCCTTTTGTATTTAATGAATGGTTGAAAATAAATGTTTTTTATTATGGCAAAAAAATCCTTGGTTGAAATATACTGGTATTAAGAGGGATTACTTTGCCAGAATAGTACTTTCTCCACAATTGTCTTCAATTCCCTGCATCTCAGTAAAGAAAAGTCTGCCTATCACAAAAATTATAGTAATGTCCATGAGTTTGAAATAGAAATTTGTAAATTTACTTAATACTTTTGGGCTTAGGATCTCCCATTGCTCATTTTCGACCATTAGTGGTAAAATCTATACTCTCTGATTCACATGTTACTCTTTTTTCTAACAAGTGTGGTTTGTCCCATTTTCAATGTGTTAGTTATCATTATTGGCAGTATTTTGTATGATTTCAAAGTGGAAAAATGAAGAGAAAATAGTTGTATACTTAAAGCAAATGGGCCCCTCCTTCATTTGAAATTCTATTATCTCTACAACATGTAAGTTGTAGACAAAAATTCTACTTTACATCAAAGTACTAAAACTGAAAAAAAATGCTGACTCCTGCTTGTGCTTTATATAGAATGGGGTACTTTGGGGATAATTAAAATTAGGGAAGCAAATTTTCTGAAACATAAATTGTAGCACCTGTGACAGATTCAGCTTTTGCTGGAATTTCACAGCACAGAAAATGGTAACTCCCACTTAATCAGATGCCGAGTGATGTAATGTCAAACTCTAATTTAGCAACCACAAACTGATCATCATCATCAAATGTTATGAATAACTTTATTAAACAAATAAACAAAAAAACCCTTTAAATGCAACCTGAATCCCAATGAGGCATTTTTCACCATGAACTCAGGGACCAGGATAAAAATACATTATTTTAGATTCAACTTTCAAATTTATTTTTATGGTGTTTAGTGCTTAATGAGTTTGGGAAAAATGAGACTTATCAAGTTATTTTTTACTTTAGTTTTTCCATAAGAAAAAGTATTAAAATTAAAGTCACTTGCAACTGGATTCTGGTAGTGGATAGTGCTATAAAGGTGGTATGAAATGGGAAACAAAGGAATACTATTAACTCCAATGCAGAACTATCATTTTTTCTTTCTTTTCTATTCAAAGGCCAATCATTCATGATATGAGTGGACCATGTTCCAATACTGATCAGCACCATGAGTTCTTGGTTTCCTCCCCAGTTCATAATAAGGTTCAAATTTTCTCTTCAAACAATTGAAATGGAAATGATCAAGATTTAAGAAGTAGGTCTTAACTTACTTCCTCAATATTCATGGACAATATCATGTCTGCTTAGACTCACAGCAGCCCTGATATTCAGATGTTATGAGAATTCAATATATGTAACTTGTTTCAAAAATGTCTCCTTAGTTGTTTTATCATTTCTCTGGCATAAATGCATTCATATCTTAAATTAAGGAAATTCTGCTTTATCTTTGCTAAATCACAAAGAAATGTAAAGGATACTGAGTGTGGTTTTAAAGATTAATCATTCACTTCACATAATATATGGAACATGTATCACATAACTTTCTAAATGCTGTGGAAATGGGTAGAAATGGTAGTGAAGAAAAGGTTACTAAGAATAACTACAAATACTGAGATCTGGTTTGCATTAGCAAAATTTTTGTGACTGAAGTTGTAGAAGTCTTGGTACAACAGCCACTTGGCAGGATTAATTCAAACATGTGCACAAGATGAATAAAAAGATTTTAAGTTCTTTTCAAACCTATTAGTCAAAGGAATTGGAAATGCTTGAATATATGATCCAAAATAGAAATTTATGTTTACATTTTTATGTATGATACTCAATCAACAGTAGAGTTGACAGTATACAAAACAGAATGTTTTAATATTAACTTAAAAATTGTGGATTTACTATTATAAGTGTTTCAGAAAATGTCCAGTCATTATTGAAAAATATAAAGCAAAGATGAACACTAGAATATTTTTACGTGCCATAAATAATGTAAACTCATTAAAAGTTAAAAGCATATTAAGCAATAATTTATTTTGATACATCTGCTTAGGGAGAAAGGCATAATAGCAGATTAACTCTGTGTTTTCATATCCATAAAATGGGGATAATAAAAGTAGTATTACTTTAGAATTAAAATGTATTAGAAGAGTGAAGAGTATCTAATATATTATAAATATCTGTAGACATGAGCTATTATAATCTTCTTTTAATTCTGTCATACTGTATGTTGAAAAACTGAGGAGCAGAAAGGAAAGTATCATAAAGAACACAGCACATGAAAACAATCTTTCCCCCTTCTTGGCACTGTGTAAGTTCCTATACATTTTATCACATTCAGTCCACACCACATTATAAGGTCAATAGTGTCATCATTATTTAATGAATCGCAGACTCTGGCTCACATCCATACCCCAAACTTGTGTACACAACTGCCCACTCAAATCCAATAACTGAAAGATGCCATACATATAACTAATAGCCATTCTTAAAACTGAACTCATCGCCGCTCAATATCAGCTCCTTTGGGCCATAGCCCCAGAAATGATCTTTCCATCCTCCTCACCTGAAGAGTCATCTTGATGTCTTTCTTTCTCTTTTTTTTTGCCACATTCGAATAATGATCTACAAGTTATTTCTTTATCTCTTCAGTTCTTTGACATACTTCTATATCTTTCCTGAATGACCACAAGTGCCACTATTTCTGCTTCCTCCCTTTCAAAACTAATCTCCACCATGAAGCCAGAACCTTTTTGATCAAGTGCATACAGTAATCACTGCTATATTCAGAATGTAAGCTTTAATATAACTGTAAAATGTCCAACATTGTCTGATTCTTCTGTACCTCTCTAATTCTGTTCCTTGTTGCTCCCTGCCTCACAGTAGCTATTTTCAGATTTCTGAACATGATTAGTGTGTATTTGCTCTCTTTTCTAGTTTTTGCTTGTATGATTCTCTATACACTTTTTCCTTTGCCTACTGAAATTAAGTTCATATTCCAGGACTAAACTTTGATGCATTTTTTCCAGGAATCTTTGCCTACCATTCCAATCACCATTCAAATTCTAAGTGGAAGACTTCACACACTGAACTATATAAGAGCTTTCATCACACTCTTACAATTGTCTATTTATTAGTCTGAATGCTCACATTCTCCATAAACTCCAAGACATTAAGGAACTTTCCACACCTCTTTAATATTGTTTAGCAGGCACCTTTATGCCTAGCCTAGTGTATACTAGATGCTCAATATATGTGTGTGATTTATCATTCTATAAACAATATACCTGTCTGTTAATAGCTAACAAGATTGTAGGCAAAGATGATTTTTTTCTATCAAGCTCTCCCTAAAGGTCATGTTTAGATATAAAAATGGGTCATAATTCATTTCAGTGCATAACATAACTTACATTGATATATGAAATTGTATTTGAGGTCATTAAAAAGTATGAATTATTGCATATGAAAACATTTTTGTTTCACTTCTTTCACTAACAACTGACAAAGTTCATGTTTCATGTATAAAAGCCAAGTAGGTTAACAAAGACAATGGAAGAGTGAAAGAAAGTGATCTTTGGAAGTAAAACACTATAATCTTTTAATATTTCCATGAAAATAATTATGGACTACTTACTCTCCTCTTAGTAATTTCATCAGCATGGTATGTCTGAGAATTAAGCACATCAATCTTTTATTCCTGGGGACTTGTAAGGATGGTTCAATAAAAGCTTTATGGATTGTTTTTATTTGTGTAGCAGCAAGAAGCAAAAATAGCCAAAAGGGAATGACTTTTAAAATAGCAATGTTTATTCTGCCCTATTATAAATAGGTTAGATTCCCCGGCACAAAAAAATAAATAAATAAAAAATAAATAAGCTAGATCTAAAGACTCTCTTTTCTGGGATTATTTGGGTCCACCCAGATCTACATTTTAGTTCCATCCCAGCATTGTGGCTAGATGGCTATAACATTCCCAAGCATCACACTGAGACATGATTAGAAAAAAGGAAACAGAATTTCTTCCTGAGAATATCTTTTGGAAAACCAGGAAACTTTCCCTTCAAATCCTGCAGTGAACTTATTCTTCCCTATATTTTGTTTTTACCAAAATTGCATCATGTGATTTAGCAATAAGTTTTTACTAGAACTAAGGCAGCCCTGTTTTGGGCTTTATACAGTGGGGAAAAAAGTCCTCTGAAGTATGTAGCTCTTCCAAAAAGGGTGAGAATTTTCACAAAATCAGAATTCAGCTAACAAGAAAGAAGAGAAGACAAGTTCTGAGTGGACTACCAACAGTGTCACTCCAAAGAGATAGGGAAACAAGTTGGGAACTCAGGGACTCCAGGAAGTAGGATGCCCCGGCTTGTAGCACTATTCTGGAAAATGCCAGGTAAATGCAAACTTTGATTTCCTCTTCCTATGTGACAAGAAGGCTGAAGCAACGGTTTGAAATATTATTGCTTTCTATCAAGAATAATTATACCTCCAAAGATTTGTAGTGAGTGTTTGTCATGTTTTGGCTCTCCAGTATTTAAATGCCCTTTTTAAAGGGGACAAGAACTCACTATGGAATGTGGGAGGAAGGCAAGTACTCTGCCTCCCACTATTGAAGCACAAGGAACAAAATACTAAGTATTTCCTCCCTACTTTCTCTGGCAGGTAATGCATGGACATGTGTCCTGGCCTCAGACATCCAGGCTAG